AGGACCGGGCAGCCCCCGCAGCCGAGAGCCAGGGGCTCCCCCTGCGTGGAGCCCAGAACCAGGGGCTCCGTCTGGGTGGTAGTCTCTGAGGTGCCAGAGTGAGGGGCCGCGGAGCCCGAGGGGACCCTCGGGCTGCACTCCCATGTGAACTCCGCGCTAACTCACGCACCAGCAGAGAAGTGCGCCTGTGTGCGCCTCCGGTCGCGTGGCTCCCTGGGGGGCTGGGCCAAGTCGGGGCCTGGGCGGGGCTTGACCCAGCCCGGCTCCACTCAGCCTCCTCCTCCCACTCACTAAGGGGTTAGCCCCCCTCTCTCCACGGGCCCCACTTACCCCAGGCTGTGCTGGGGGTTGGCGGGGGGCTCTGCGGCTGCTGGAGGGTTTTTGGGGGGCTTCGGGGGAGCGGGGGCGCAGCGGCCTTTCACCCGCGCATCTCTTGCCACTTCCGAGCCTAACTGCAATTCGTTGATTCGGATCACTGTTCCAATTCAATTCGGCCAAATCCAAATCTAAAGATTCAATGCTGATTTGGAGAATAGGCAATTCAGCCATAGACACAGTTTTATATGTTTTTTCTACATACCTCGAGGTACCAGGCATGGCTCATGAATGCTGCACTGGTGGAGCAGATGGAGCATCCCACAGGGGTGCAGGGAGGCCCCCCACGTTTTCGGCAGCAAACCCGGAAGTGGACTGGAAGTACTTCCAGTCCATTTCCAGGTCTACCACTGAGTGCGCTCCCACATTTGTGCTGGGTATTTACAGATAATATAGAAAGGCAAAGTTCCTGCTTCAAGGCATTTCTTTGTTTTTCTTTAGTATTGTTCCAAAGGGGTGAAAACAATCAGGAAAAGCTTAAGAGGTAAGGAAGGACCCCATACAAAAACAACTCAGGAAAAGGTGAAAAACAGTCCAAACCATAACAGAAAATGTTCTATAGAAGTGCTTTATCCAGCTGATGGCATACATTTTATCCAAATAAGTTAAACAAGTTCCTAAAATGAAACTATTCAAAATTAAAATTTGAGTTTCAGGTTTCGCAACAAAAAATAAGTCCTCTGCATGATCCAGTATAGCTGTTCTAGGTGTCCTTTTAATAATTCTATGTCAAGTTATGTGACTTCTGAAGGCTTTTCTATAGCTAGTACAAAACTACAAAGCTGTAACATGAAACCAGAATTGTAGCAATGTTGGTTCTTACTCTTTCCAGGGCCAGCAATAAAATGTTCCTGTGACCATAGGAAGCTCTGCAAGGACTGAAGCGCCATCTCTGCAGAGGTTACAAGCACTGCCAGGAACAAGGTAATGATAGTACCTGCTCCCAGTTGTAGCTTCTGTTGTTACAACTGAACTCTTTCACTCCTTAACTTTCTATCCGTGCTACTACACCTCTGGCAGAATACAGGGGACTATGGATGACGCTAAGGTTTTCCAGAAAAAGTTTAGGAAGTTTCCAGACAACACAGGCATTCAGTAAGTTTAAGCAGGTTTCAATAATGCTTGACAAGTGCCTGAAAAGAAAAAAAGTTAACTCAAAAGCATGAGCTTTAAATCTAGCATTACAAAATTACTACAAAATATGGGCACACAGATTTAAGGCAGGTGTGGTAACCTTAACTCCAATATTGCATCTTGCAAATCACTCCAAACTTGCACTCAGTTTTTACTAGGAAACTGACCTCCTGCAGACAGTAGCTAAAAGCACGTTGTAAGTCCACCTGCCCTGTAATACGGTGCTTCCCAAAGTTTTCCTCAGCATGATCCCATTTCCTCAGCATGGCCCCTCATTCCCCACTCGCAGCCCCCCGCCTCCCCAGGTGCCCCTTACTCTCAACCCACAGTCCCCTGGTCCTGCCAGTGCCCCTCACTCCCAATCTGCAGCCCCCCCACACTTCCCAGGTGACCCAGGGCCAGAAGGAGACCTGCAGCCCCCTGCCCCGCAATCCCAGCAGCACCTGAGCCCCAGCTGCTGCCCACAGGAAACAGCAGCTGCCGAGTTCGGAGCATAGAGCCTGGCTCCCCTGCCCCCTGCTATCCCCTCCCCGATGGGCGGCTGTAATATGTTCTGATGGGGAAAAAAACCCAACAAAAAAGACACTGAAGGATAAAGATGACATCTGGTGGGAAGAAAAAGTGATATGCATCATCTTGTCAGTTTAAAGTCTTCTGAAGAAAAAAAATTCACAAGTTTACAGCAAGAGCTTGCAGGATCCAAAAGCCATAATCAGGATGACCAGGTTATTTCATAATGTAAACATTGCTTTCAAGCTCGTTTCCAGGTAAGTATAAGAAGAACTTAAGAATCAGACAGATGTGGAGGGTGTAGATATAAGCAGTGTAAATCATCATAACAAGAACAGAAATGATAAAACTGTGGAGGATTATTCTTTCCCATGTGTCGAAAAGGTAGGCACAGGTGATTAATTGATATTGCCAGTACAGCCAGTAGAAATAGTCCCATACAGACTTCATTTTCATCGTCATCCTCGAGCAGCTTCAGCAAGTTCAACCTATTAAAATAAAAACTTTTCGTTAAGGAAAAAACAATGTAAGTGTGGAAAAAAACCAGTAGGATTCATTTACTCTAGTATTACAACTGAACAAGGACCACAGTGTTGTCACCTTTTGGACAATTCAGCCAAAATCCTAGGACTTCTTAATGTATAATATGTTCATCAGATACTAATGCACTCACAATACCTCTGAAGTGCTTATGCTTTCTTCCAAACTACCCTGATGATTTTGCTGTAAAAGTAAGTAACTTCATCTACCATGCAATTAACACCCAGTATGGCAAAATAAATATGGATATGAGAACAATCAAATGAGAAACACTTAAATAGGCGTTACTTTATATCAGACTCAGATATCCTGGGCTTTGGTTGGGTGTGTCTGATTTCCATAGGCTACATACATTTTGTTACTCTGCTCACTTTACTCATATTTGATGTACAGCACAGAAGGTGTGCACACACCAGCAACCAAACACATACCCTAAACAAAGGACACCTCATATTCATGGAAGAGAAGGGTTCAGAGGAAAATACCAAAACTCCAAACCAGCCTTTTTTTCCCCCTCTTTGAACTTAAGGTTCTGAAAATAACTTAATAAACCCTTTTTTGTGACCAGGGGGGCAGGGAAGAAAGGACTCTTCATCCTATTTGTATTTCCTCTCAGATGTTTTGTCCTCAATGATTGCCAGCAATGCCAGAAGGACAATGCCACAGCACCCCTCTAGTGGCCCTTATCACCTGGGAAAGTGGGAGAGGATGCCTCCTCAGAGCAATATGAGGGTCAGTAGCTAGAAACATAAGACTCAGGGACCGGACCTTCTGCACTAGTCAGATTCCCATCTCCTTCTTCACAAGAAACATTGCCCTGCCGTCTCCATCATACACTACTCAAGACCCATCTTGACATGAAGTGGAGTTTTTGCCACTACTCCTCCTATTGGAAGGCTGTTACAGAATCTGTCTGATCCAAGGACTGGATTCAGTGACTTACTCCTTCCAGCCCTGTGGACCTCAGGCACAGTGGCACATACAAGCTTCCTGCTACTTCCATATTAACAAGTGCCTTCAGGCTCTCAGCCTTGCACACGGTAGCTGCAACAAGCGTCAGGACTGGAAACAATGGAGAATGCGTTATAGTCAGATGCTGACTACAATAGACCTCTAGAACTCCCACAGAGTTTGTCCATGAGGCATACTGCCATGCCAGGGTGAAATGTCTGCGCTAGATGCACTGTTGGAAACAATGTAGTCTCCCTGGGACAGTTAGAACGTCCACTTTGTACTATTAAATTTCGTCCATTTCTGATATTCCACTTCTCCGCTAGAAATCCAGTTCTTACAGTTGGAAATTCTGATCCTCCTCTGTATCAACAATGCACCTCAACGGTGTGCTATCAACAAACTTCATTAGCGTGCTCCAGCTTTTTTACCATGCGCATTAGTGAATATATTAAATAATACACTCCTACATTGTATGTAATGAGGACATCAGCATCAATTACCTGCCTCTAGTGTTCCCTCTAAGCTGCACGGCGTGCGTGGCCACAAGACATGTCTGGCAGCGCAGCATGAGTAAGCCTGCGCAGCTGTGCACACCACACAGCTTAGAGGGAATGCCGCTTGCTTCACAGGTACAGTAAAAGAGTTAGTGCTGGTATAATACCAGGCTCCTATACAAAGCAATATAACTACTATTATTGCTCTTTCCAGTAACTTCCATTAATACATGTACCTCACTATGATGCATCCAGTTCATACTAAAAAGAATCTCATGTATAGTGAAGTATCATATCAAAATGACTCTATACACCCCATATAAAAAAAAAAAAATCAGGAAAACTCACCCTACTTCTTCAAAGTGTGTTGCATTATATCTGGACCTCTTGAAACTTCTGAGTATGTTCAGCACTCTCTTACTGAATTTTGAAGCAACAAGGTCAGATGGGAATGGGGGACAGTGATATAGTTGCTTCCCCCTTCACTGCAGATTCACCACCAAAACCTCTGGCCTCAGATGCATAAGCAGTCAATACCTCCCTGCTGCCACACACCCCTTTTTCTGTTTTTGTACCAACTGTTTCCCATGCCCCACCCTTCCTCACTGTTGCTAAAACTTACATAAAGCCAAGATTCCAACCGCTGGATTTGAATCTAATCTAAATAACATCACAGGGCACATACTTTATGAAAATTGTTCTGCATTGAATTCTATGTCAAATTTTAGTTTGATAACACAGATCCAACCTAGGGTACCACAGGAACAGGAAATGCTGCTTTAGAAGCAGAAGAGTCTTATCTTGATCATCATAATAAACCCAGATCAGGTTCCAAGACCCAGCCTGACTCCATCAGTTGATCAGGGCAATCAATTTCCTGAGGCTTCAGGGAACAGACCCCACCTTCTCCAACTTTTAAAAGCAAGGCCAAGGTACTAATACCCTGTTTTGGCAAGGACTTTGGTTCTTGCTCCTGACTGTTCTGTTCTGCCTTGGTTTCCTTACCAGCTGTCTGACTACAGCTCTGACTCTTCAGTTCCTGTGAACCTGGTCCCTGACTTTGTCCAAATATCATTTGATCTTCCCTGACTACTAACAAGCATCAGCAACTCAGAATTGCCAGGTGCAGAACTCTGTCTGCCTGGTGAGTTACTGTTTTCTTTTGTAATAGATTTACGAGCCACCCTTCACAAACAGGTTAATTGCAGCTCACAGTAAAACACCACAACCCGTATAAAAAAAGAATAACACTTTAAGAAAGTGTAATAAAACACACCCCCATCCCAAATTCAAAAACTGTCTACCTCATCTCCCCCCTCTCCTGCCTCTGCCTTTGAGGAAAACTTCCCTCTTACCTGTACCAATCTTCCTTCCCAACCTATATTCACTTCCTCTATTAAAAAACAGGAATTCCCCCTCCCTACATATGACCTGCAGTACTTAAAGCGTGATTTAAGAGCAACAGAAATCATGTCCTATTCCTGTGCAGCTGCAAAGCTCCAGGTGGAACCCACAGCCAGCTTCTTTGTGCTCCTTGGGAAACCTGGTTCAAACCTCTTTCATGCCTGTTTGCTCTTCTGCCTCTTACAAACATGCTGAGGCCCAGCTCTCAAGGCAGGGCAAGATAGCACAAGAGAAATGAACTGAAATATGACAATAAAATAGTTTTCTAAGCACAAACCAAACAAACTTAGGTTTCCCTGAGTTCTGATCAATCCTACAGCTTAGTTATTTAGAATTCTAGATGATTCCAATTTATAATATAAAGGGTTTTGCCTAAAGTCCAACTGTTTCCAAAAACTAAGACTCCATCTTCAGCTGATATGCCCCAAGCAGGGCCTCAGACATAATGCCAGTTCTTCTCCCTATCCTTTCCTCACCCCGCGCAGGTTGACCCACTGCATTAAAAGCTTGTCAAAACCCTTCTTTCAAGTGCATTTCTGTGGAAAACTGGATTCTCCATCACACTTTTTTTTTCTTTCTGAGAATTGATCACTTCAACGGGAAATTCTGATTTGTCACAGCTAAATGCATGAATGTTGCATGCTAACAGCTTGGGCCTAAAACCACAGAAAACAAGAAATGCCATTTTGATATCTCTGCTCTGTGTAGTCTTAACTGTTTGGAGAGAGATGTGAGGATTATAGCCAGGCAGCTGCTTTTAGTCAGTGGTCCTGCTCTAGGAACCAGGCTGCTCTACATAGACTCATAGAAAGTTAGGGTTGGAAGAGACCTGCATCCAAGTCTGGGCTCCACAATTCAAGAAGGATGTCAAGAAGCTTGAGAGAGTCCAGAGGAGAAATGGAACGGAGGAGGAATCCAGACTCAGAAATGTTCTTCACTATTTGTAAATGTGTTATATATTGAGTCATGCAAAGACATGTTGCTTTAACATGTTTTAGCTTGTATGTTTAAAATATATTTCCTCCCCCCTGCACCCTGCCCCAAACAAGGAGACAGCAGCTTTGCAGAGTCAACTGAGTTCGCCAAAGGATGATAATTAATATCTAAGCACAGGTTGGGGATGCACAAGGAGTAACATCTTATATGAATGATGTACTTTTGCTGTGGCAGAGTTGTTGTAGGAAGTATGGTTTTTGTCCCGCATCTGGAGTTAGTTGTGCTTCTTCCACAGAATCCCATGTCTGGGGTCAGAACTGATCTCTGCTCAAAGGGATAATGAGTGTCATTTCATCAGAGTGCTCCTGTGCTGACTTGCTTAAGCAAGGGCAGGCAATTATTTTTGCTGACTAGCCAGGTAGGCAGTTCTGGGAAGCTGCCACAAGCCAGTCAGCACTCCTTCCCTTCCCCCAGCAACAGCCTGGAGCCCATGTGCTGCCACCAGCAGCCCCCAGCCCACCCCACCTTTCTAAGTAGCCCAAGCAGTGTCTCCTTATGGCTGCCACCACTGCTGGCCCCAGCCCTGCGGTACTGGTGGGAACCTGCGCACACAGCCCCACTCCAGCCTGCCCCGCGCCTGCTCCAGACTCAGCAGAACAAACCAGCTCCAGACCAGCCATAACCAGCACACTACCCTGACCCACCCTGCACCTGCTCCAGACCACCTGCCCACTCTGAGCAGTAGCAGCAGCAGTGACCAGGTAGAAGCTGCTAGTCAGCATGGGGGAAAAATGGCCCCTCCCCCTGACTGCTGTTGGGCCCTTCTTGCTGCAGTCCCCCGGGCTGCCCTCCTCTCCACCACTGTTGCTGCCACCTCTGGGCTGCCCCGCAAGACAGTGATGATATCACATAGGAGTGGAAGGGCAGCCTGGACATAGGCTTCAGGTGTCTGCAACAAGAAGGGCCCAGCAGGAGTGATGGGGAGCAGCTGCTTTTCCCCCACACTAAGCAGTCACTTCTGCCTGGTGACCACTGCTGTTGCCACTGCTCAATGTGGGCAGGCGGTCTAGAGCAGGTACAGGGCAGGTCGGGGTTGTCTATGTGGATTCTAGCTACTCTGGAGCAGCTCCGCTCTGCAGGCTTGAATCTGGAGTGAGTGTAGGGCAGACCAGGGTTGGGGCTGTGCATGCAGGTTCCTTCCAGTGCCACAGGGCTGGGGCCAGCAGCAGCAGCAGCCAGAAGGAGCCACTGCTGCCTGGGCTGCCTAGAAAGGCAATCCAGTTGCAGAGCCACCCTAGCCCCACTGTGTGCCCTGGGACCAGCAGGACACATCATAGGTAGGACAGTGCCTGAGCCACGTGGGACCAAGGGACCCACCATGGGCTGGACAAAGTCCCTCCGTGGGCCAGATCTGGCCTATGGGCTGTATTTTGCCCACCCTGTGCTTACGCCTAGCCCAGGAGGGAGCAGACAGTATTTGGTGTGTTGCATGAAACTATAGCCATTGAAACTATAGTCAAGTTGTATGCAGATATTAAGCCTTAGAGAGTGTCTCTCTCTAAATCTGACTGCTTAAAAAACAACAAACACATAGCACCCCTGCCCCCATCAACGCTTACTGTATTGTTTAATTACGTTATGACAAAACTTGCAAGACATTTGATGTACGTGCAAGCTGGAGTGGCACTGAGGGAGTAGGATTGTGAAACTAAGGTAAAGGTAGCTACCAGCCTACCTGCTTCCAGTCTCCATGCACATGCATGTAATTGTACAACTCAGGGTATGGGTGGGGTAGCTGTCTACTATAAAAGCCTTTTAAAGAGTGTTAGAACAGCTACTGAGCCTGAACAGTGACTGTAACATTCTGTTTCTTGACTTCTTTATCAGAGTTGTTCAGTTCTCATGTAGTTCACTTCTTCACCCACTAACCTCCCTTTCAATCAAACCAAAGGATGACACCTATGCCCACACTCCCCAACCCTATTCCTCCTAGCACTTAAAGCCATCCATGGCTTTACAGTCTCACCATACTCCTATCCCCAACCAGAGCTCATGACAGAGAGGATAGTGGAGAATTACATCTGAAACTTAATGTTACAGAGGACATACAAACACTAGTGGCACATGTTATAATGAAGTCACTCATTCCATGCCTCAGAGTCTTCACACTCTTTTAGAGGTAAGAAAACAATTATCCTGATTATTCTCAATTGGATCATTAGTGTGGGGGGTAAAGGTGACAGCCAAATATAGTCATTGAAACAATTCTGGAAAGGGTGAGGAAAAAAATGTTTAGTACATTCCTCTAGTTCAGCACTGCCTTTCCTTTCAAACAACAAGGCACTCAGCTCAATCAATTATGTGGAGAAAAACCAAATAATCCCTTCACACAAAGCAAGGAAATAAGCCAAATCAAACTAAAGGCCACACATCTCTTTAATGGGAGGATGTCATCAATCTCCCAAAATGAAAGTGTTTAGAAAGTACATAGATATATCTAGGTACACTGTTTTACCATGACATTTGTACATCTTAAGAAGGCTTTTTGTAATTTGTACTCAAATTTCAATAACTTTTGAAATAGTGTTAGAAAACTGGTTGAATACAAGTGCAATGTATTAAATGTATTCCATTTACCAGTCTTCATTATAACTACAGTGCTTTGCTTGTACAAGTGTCTCTCACTTTGCTTAGAGAAGCCCCTATTTACATTTTCTTCTTTCAAGATCACAAGCTGAGCACCTGCTCATTTAGGTTCTTCTAAAGCAGTATGGTAATACTAAAAGGCATCTGTGTAGCTGTTAAGGCAGTCAGGTGTTTTTTTCACCCCAACTAGTTGTTTCAGGTTGAATTAATCCTTGCAACACTGGAAGAATCATTGAATCACCCCAATTCACAGGGCAGACTAATGTGACAGCCAAGGGCTGGTCATGCATGGCAGGTCTGCCATAGAGCTAGTGGCAATTGCATGGCCAACCACTATTGGTGGCAGCAGTTTTTGCATCGATGCCACACACAGTCATGTTACTGTCTACAGAAGACATTATGATTATGAGGAAATAATTAGTGGAGAAAAACAAATGAGGTTGAGACACTACACCAAGCCAAAAACACCTCCTCAGCTGATGTGACCTGACTCCCATCCTTCCTTCTGAGACCTTTAGTCTCATGCCAGGTAACAGCAAAAGGCACACTGCTGAAATCTGTAACAGGAGCCAGGGTTGGGACAAATGGGGCAGGGCTTGCCCAGGGGAGAATACCATGTAAGATTGACCAGGTACAAAACTGCAGTGAATGACAGAGGCAATCAGTGATGTTCACAAGTAAAGAAATGCTTTGGACAAAGACAAGGGAACTGCCAAAGCTCTGAGCTTTGACTGTAAGGGCTCTGAGTGGCTAAGGCAAAGGGCAATAGAAAGAAAGGTCTGACTACAGGTAAAACCTTTCCTCAACATCCCTTCTGGCCTGGATGACCACTGTCAACATGCCCACAAGGTACAGGCTTA